ATATTTATAATAATATAGGAAAGACGAGAATATGAATTTGAAAAAACACCAAAATTTCGTAAACTTTGGAAATTAATTTGTAAAAAAGATGAAAAATTAGAAAATGAAGAACTTCAAACAACAATATTCGAACGAACATTTCTTCGAAAATTAGCTGAAAAATTTCTTCAACTTATTGAAAATATTCAATCAATAAATAATACTGATCAATATCCATTTGAAACAGTTATTTATACTGAACGTTTTCTTGAATTATTTACTGATATTATTGTTCAATTACCAACACGTCGATTTTTTAATATTGTTCTTGATAATATTAATTTTGTTATACGTTGTTTTTTATCACCATTTATTAAATCATTAATAAAGAATAATGAAAATATGGATATTGAATTTATACAAACATCAATAAGAAAAAAAATTCAAACAGAAAATGGTGAAGAAGAAATAGAACAACAAGCAACAACTAAAACAACAAATTTATTTCATAAAATGTTAACTAATTTTAAATTTTATTCAAATTTTGAAATAAATGATACAACTGGTGAAACATTAACACAAAATGAAATGATGGAAAAACATTATGAAAAAGTTTTACAATTACAAAAAGCTATATTTAAACATTTTCGAGATGAAATGCCAACATTTCCATTACAAAATATTCAAACAATTGATAAACGTGAAATATTAAATGATGAATTTGATAAATTAAGTGATGAACAATTAAAATCTATTTCATTATCACTTCAACCACCAATTCAAATTAATAATAGAGAACTTTTAATTGAAGTACTTATATCAGAACATGAAAAAATTCAAAGTCATTTAGAAGTAAGATTAATTCAATGAAATTTAATTCTAAAATAATTCAGAACAGAAATCAAATATAGAAATTTTGTTTTTTGAATTTATGCAAAATTCGATAAAGAAATTTATTCTACAAGATTAATCAAAAATATCAGACTGATGTATTTTTTTCTTTCTATTATATCAAGTATTAAACTCAAATCCAACTAATAATTTGAATATCCAATGAAGTTCTCTAAAAAATTAAACATGGTAATTTTCATATGCAAGAGAATTTTATGAAAATTATTTTTTTAGAGTATCATCTTAAAGAGTACGAAATCCTGAATAAAATGAAGGTTTGCTGCATTTTCTATGGTCTACTTTTAAAAAGTTATAAGCAATCGAATCGTGTTGTGATAATTAATTGACTAGATCTTTAAAAGAATTCGAATTGATAACTAATCTATTACCGAGTTATGATACGACTTATGAAAACTTCAATCTTTACTAGTGTTTCCAATAGAAATGAAATACAAAATATTTTCTTATACTTAACGATCAATGTGTATATTTAAACTATCTTTTCTTCAGAAAAATGTACAAAAATTAAGTTTTTTTTTCACACTTCAAAAAAACAAAAACTAATTTTTCGTATTTCTTTTTCTTTGAATGGAAAATGTAAACTAACATTTAGCAAACTGATAAGTAGTAAATACACGTACTAACTTTTTCATTAGTGTTTGTAAAAAACATAAGTTTTAATTTGGTATTGCATACAGCTTTTAATTCATCTGGAATTAAAATGTAGACTTCTTCAGTAAAGTGTAAAACAGCGTGTATTTCAACAGTAACAGATATTCTGTACGTTTTACTTCTACTTACCAGGAAACCATTTGTACTGATATACATTGTTTGAGCTCATATTGGACTCAGAAGGAAGTTTCGATTAGACTAGAAAAAGTCCAAAATGATTTGTCTTTATGGGTGTTTGAAGGTTAGTTAGGATCGTTTTACTGAATTTCCAATCCAGCTCCGAATGCTTACTGAAATATCAAAAAATTGAATTTGAGTGTGAAATTTTGTCCACAGGGGTAGGTCTAATGATTCGGAGAAAGTTTCAGCCGAAAAGAATATTCTTTTATTGAGATATTAAATTTTCAAAAAATATTCGCTTGTCACAAGCATGATATAAAAATCGAATTTATTTGAAAATTCAACATTTCAATAAAAGAACATTCTTTTCGAGTGAAACTTTCACGATATTCTATCGATCACTAGACTTATCTATGAGCAAAACTTCAGTAAATTGATCATAACTCGACTCCAAAGATCCACGAAGAAGAATTCTTTTAGATTTTTCTTAGTGCCACTAAGGTATCTTTATAGTTTCAATATAAACACAAACGGCAGGTATCAATTCAGATGATTCTCTTCGTTACCCAGGAGAATCATTCCAACAATCGGATCCGATCGGATTCCTATCGGATTCGATCGGATTTTATTGGAATTTCTATAAATCCGACGAAATCCTGTAGGAATCCGGGAGACGATCCTACTAACGGAACCTTAGTGTCTAGACATAGGATCCTACTATCGGATTCCGATAGTAATTCATCGTATAAATATGACTGGTCTCTAGTATTGGGTTAAAATGCTAATTAGCACGTAATTAAGAAAATAGGTTTCGCCCGTCAGATCCGTTTTCCGGAATCCCATAGGATTTTGTCGGATAGTCGGATCCGATCAGATCCGATTGGATCCGGTATCGGATTCATTCACCTGGGTAGTCATTCAAGTATTCTAATGTTTTGACAGAGAAAGCGATCTCCTGAATTCCTTCCTGCTAAAATGCCAGAGACTTATTACTTTCTCAAACAAATACAGAATGAAGACATGAGCATGCTTAAGTTCTTCTTTTATATTGAACAATATGAGTGACTCTATAGAACTGTGACTATTTCATTTCTTTTTGCAAAGCAAACAATTAATTCAATTTTTGAAATTGTTCGTTTCTCTTTCAACAATATTTATATAATAATTGATTATAATTAAACTAGTTAATTAATTTTTAATATTATTTTTTCTAGCTTATTAATACTTTACCATTATATCCAACTGAAGAAACAATTTGGGATGAAGATATTGTTCCAACAGAATTTTATAATGGTGAAACATGTTTAGCATTACCAAAATTAAATTTACAATTTCTTACATTACATGATTATCTTTTACGTAATTTTCATTTATTTCGTCTTGAATCAACATATGAAATTCGTCAAGATATTGAAGATTCTGTTAGTCGTATGAAACCATGGCAAAATGATGCAACAATAACAAATGACAAAACAGATCAAACACAACAACAATGTATATTTGGTGGTTGGTCACGTATGGCACAATCTATAACAAATTTTACTATTGTTGAAGTTAGTAAAGCAAATATTGGTGAATTACATCCAAGTCGTGTTCGAGCTGATATTACACTTGTACTTAATACACGTGCAAATATAAAACAAGAATGGGAAAATTTACGTCGACATGATATTTGTTTTTTAATTACATGTAAACCATTAACAAAAGTTGGAACAACATATGATTATCGACAATCATTTATACCACAAGTTGGTCTTACATATGTACGAGGTTGTGAAATTGAAGGAATGTTAAATATTGATGGACGAGTTATTGAAGAAGGTAAAATGAAATTTTTTTTTTTTTTTTTTTTTATGAATTTAATTAATTTGATGAAATATTTTTAATATTTTGTTTTTTTCTTTTCTCCTTTGTTTAAGGTGTTGATGAAAGACCAGTTTTCTCTGGTGATACACGTACATGGCGTGTATGGCTTGATCCAAATCAATATCAAGTTGATATTCAAGACACATTAAATGGATCTGAAGATGTTTATGATACATTTAATATATTCATGAGAAGAAAACCAAAAGAAAATAATTTTAAAGCTGTTTTACAAACTATACGTGATTTAATGAATACAAATGCTGTTGTACCTGATTGGTTACAAGATTTAATATTAGGTTATGGTGATCCAGCATCAGCTCATTATACAAAGTAATAAAAAAAATTAATATTTAAAAATTTAAATTTTTATTTTTACTTGATTTTCATTTTTTTTTTAGTATGAAAAATAAAATTCCTACATTAGATTGGAATGATACATTTATTGATGTTAAACATCTAAGAGCTAGTTTTCCTGATTATAAAATTCGAGCAACTGAAGATGATCGATCAAAACATGTACCACCATTCAAGTATTTATTTTCATTAAAACTTATAGACTTTCTAAAATCAACATATAGGAAATCTCAAATAAATACAAATTTTAAATTCCATGAAAGAAATATTTCATGTTTAGACTTTTTTTTGAAATATCAGGAAGATTTTCTAAGCTCTTAAAATTAATTAATTGTTACGTTGATCGACAAATACGGTGAGATTTACAATTTCCTTGTATGAATAGAGCTTTTTCTATGCCAACGAAACGAAGACACATGAACGTAACGCTAAATCATATATTTCACAAAACTATGAAGTGTATACGGACTTCGTATTCTTCATCCTCAGCGTGAGAAATGCAACGTATTCTGCAGAGGTGTTGTATCTTCCGTAAATAAATACTATCTACTGTAATTTCACTAGAATACACAAAATACAGAAGCTCCGAGAAAGAAAAGGATGCAAACCATAAGTAGAAGTGTAAGCCGATCGACTGAGTCGCTGCCAATTTTTTGAAAAGATCCCCAGTCGTCAATACTCAAGCGATCCAGTCACACCACCACTAGCAATGCTCAATAAGTCCTGCGTCGGTACTCCTAACGTCCAATAAATCCAGCCGCGCCACCATCGCCAACGCTCAAGCAATTTGACTGCGTCGCCGTTGCCACACTTCAAACAATCTAGCCACCCCGTTGTCAACGTTCAAGCGATTCAGCCGCACTGCCGCTGCCAACGCTCAAGAAATCCAGTCGCGCCATCGTCACTCAAACCGTTCGATCACACCGTCAAGAAATCTAGCCGCACCGCTGATCAATGCATCAACTTACACCTCGATCCATAAGCCAAAAGAAACAGCGATTGTCTAAAGTTGATTGAGAGTTTACTATTTATTTTATTTTATTTTATGAAACGCGATCTAAAAGGTGTGTTGAAGTATATAGGGTAGAAATTTGCACCCCCCCCCCCCCCTCCCCCAGACCGTTACAAACAGGGTCAAGAGACCATCATAGACTCCCTTCATCGATCATCATAGCGTTGATAGCTGCCTTCAAGAGACTATCAGACATTATGTATAACTAACATCTAATTGGAGTATTCATGAAGTTCATCGCTGTAAATTTAGCAATGCTGATGCAATATGCCCAGTATACATAAAAAAGACGTAGGGATTACTCTAACAGCTTTTGTATCATATAGAGAAAGTTATGAAGAAAAAAAAAAGGAGATTGTTCATCATGAAATTCTATCTTTCTGTTAATTATACATAAATTACTAATTAGTGAAGATCAGTATTCATTTGAGATTTACCTTACGTTTTTTCATAAATCAAGTTTCCAAACGCAAAAAAAAAAAAAATAACTAATATCTATTGAAAATTTTACTCTTTTTTATTTATTTATTTAGATTGACTTTTTGTGATTTACGTAGTAAAGGTGAACATGCCGGTGAAAAATTAATTATCTTAGAACCATATAAAATTCCAAATCGTGGTCCATATCCATTTAATAAACCTCGTCAAAATACAGTTCGTTTTACTCCAACACAAATTGAAGGTATTAAAGCTGGTATGCAACCAGGTCTTACACTTATTGTTGGTCCACCAGGTACAGGTAAGACTGATGTTGCTGTACAAATTATATCAAATATTTATCATAATTATCCTGATCAACGTACATTAATTGTAACACATTCAAATCAAGCATTAAATCAATTATTTGAAAAAATTATGGGACTTGATGTTGATGAAAGACATTTACTTCGTCTTGGTCATGGTGAAGAACAACTTGAAACAGATAAAGATTTTAGTCGTTATGGACGTGTTAATTATATATTAAAAAAACGTTTAGAATTACTTGAAAAAGTTGAACGTTTACAAAAAAGTTTACAAGTTCCTGGTGATTTATCATATACATGTGAAACAGCTGCACATTTTTATATGTATAATGTTTTATCACGTTGGGAAGAATATTTAAGTAAAATTAATCAATCAAATAATAATTTAGATATATTAATAAATTTATTTCCATTTAAAGAATTTTTTTCTGATTTAAATTATAATTTATTTGATAATAAACAAACATTTGAAAATAATTTAGAAATAGCACAAGGTTGTTTTCGTTATATTCAACAAATATTTACACAATTAGAAGAATTTCGTTCATTTGAATTAATGCGTAATGGTTCTGATCGTGCTAAATATTTATTAGTACGTGAAGCTAAAATTATTGCTATGACTTGTACACATGCAGCATTAAAACGACATGATCTTGTTCAATGTGGTTTTAAAGTAATAAAAACAAAATATTTTCTTTTTTGTTTTTTTTGTAGATTTCAATGTTTTTTTTTATTTTAGTATGATAATATATTAATGGAAGAAGCAGCACAAATACTTGAAATTGAAACATTTATACCATTATTATTACAAACATCAGATCAACAAGGACGAAATCGTTTAAAACGTTGTATTATGATTGGTGATCATCATCAATTACCACCAGTTATTAAAAATATGGCTTTTCAAAAATATTCAAATATGGAACAAGCTTTATTTACACGTTTAGTTCGTCTTGGTGTACCAACAGTTGATTTAGATGCACAAGGTCGTGCACGTGCATCACTTTGTTCATTATATAATTGGAGATATAAAAATTTGGGTAATTTAGAACATGTTTTACAACAAAAAGAATTTAAAACAACAAATGCTGGTTTTGTTTATGATTATCAATTAATTAATGTAGAAAATTTTAATGATATTGGCGAATCAGAACCAATTCCATATTTTTATCAAGTAAGAAAAACATTTTTTTTTTGCAATTGATAAACAGATTTAAGAATAACTCAGATTGAATAGCAAGGAATGTAAAAAACAAGCTTTAGACATCAATTCTTCCTAATTTGATATGAATCGTATTGCAAAAGACTACTCGATAGAGATATTCGAAATCAATTTTAGTCCCGATCATCAGGGTCGGGAGTAAAAGTTGTCCCAATCGGAGCATAATTCAAGAGAGATATCACTAGGGCTGTCAGGGTTCCCGTTCCTCAAGGGTTCCGTTCCCAAGGAACGGGAACCCACTTGGTTATTCATTTCTATGCATGTTTGAACGCGCTTGAGTTCATAGACATACTTTTTCTTTCGTTTTGAGCAAGTCACTCAGGGTTCCCGGGTTCCTGGGAACGGGAACCCAGTTGAAAATTCATTTCTGTGCATTTTTGAACAGACTAGAGTTCATACACATACTTTTTCTTTCGTTTTGAGACAAGTCTCCCCGGGTTCCCGAGAATGAGAACCTGCATCGGGTTCCCAGGAACGGGAACCCGCATCGGGTTCCCAGGAACG